GGGGGTAAAAGGAGACTTTTCATTATGTGCCTTTTTGGACCTTTTAAACTATATATCATGTATACATATTATCTGTTCACATTTTTTAAAGTTTTTTAAAAATTAAATTAATGAATACTCATTTCAAACATTAAGATGAGCAATATGAGGCTGATGTTTAAATATTAATAACACTGGGCCTTTGTTTGCCATTTAAGCGCAACTTCCCTAGCTAACCCTGTGGGCTGCCTTCCAGTGTTAGTCCAGAGAACATAAGAGAGTTTGACCAACTGGGAGTCATCATGAGGGTGGCTTTGGCAGATCATTGCCAATACTCTCATTCAAGGTTGCCAGTATTGCCTTAACCACTGGTAAGCCCTACACCCTTGGAGGGACTGACTAGGAAAGTCATAAATACCACTCTGGCTGGGAATGAAGCGCAGCCCTGTAAGAGTCCTAAAACAATGTTTGCTGAATGGAAGATGTCAAATTTAAAGGGACTTTGGTTTAGAAGATGGACCAGGATTAGAAGGACTGTTTATAATGGAAAAGGGGGCCTAGAAACTGACATATGAAGAAATTCACTTTCTAAGAGCTAACTCTCTTGTTAATAGGTGATGTCAAAATATGATATCAGAGTTAGCAAGTCAGAGTAACTAACATTGGGAATTATGTTTCAGAACATCCTCGGGTACTCAAGGGAAGGGGTTAAAGGTGGTGTGCACTCTGCAGATCCTGACTGCTCAGCACCAGGCTGAACAGGACTGTCTCACTGAGCTGTGCCAGTGATGTGGCAGTGGTGGTCATTCTTGGCCAGGGTGGAATTTATGGGCTTCCTGGTCAGTCTCTTGGAGGTAGTGGGATTTACCCAATGAAATTAAGTGCAGAAGAGTAAAAGACTTGTCCAAATTGGAGGAAGGTGCCCCAAACAATGGAGTGGTCAGCATCATTGGTAAAAATATGGCTGAAGCAGATTTCAAAACATGTGGGACAGGATTAGAAAGATCTGCCAGGGAGTTCAGGGTACCCCTTTCAGGCCACCCTAAAAGGTTGGTGCCCAGCATATATAGGGTGTGTTTTAGGATTCAGATCCTGAGATGTCCTGGAATAGTCTGGAGTAACCTTAGCAGAGGTGGAACCCCCATTCCTGGGACTCCTTTTAAAATCCTATCAATCTAGTACATCCTTTCCAAGGCAACTTTTCCTGGGAGATGGATCACTGTGAATCAACTTATTTAGATGTATTTTACAGACAGACCTCTCTGAGGGAATCTCATGACTTAACTGAGGAATCTCTATTGGACTTACCAATGAGAAACCTTAATAGAAAAGGTTGGATCTCCAGCTTCTGATTGGGTCTGATTTCCACCTGCGTCCTTCCTGGTCCTTAGCAGGGAAGAACTGATAAACTGCCCTAGGAGAGGCAGTGCAGTGTGATGAAGAGAAAATAAACTTTGGGATCAGGCAAATCTGAATTGGAGTACACGGTCAGCTACTTACTAGCTCTGTGACCCTAAGGATATTACTTACCATCTCTGAACTTCAGTTTTCTGTCACTTGTTTAGAACTACCTACTAGGTTATTCCTTCTTTGGTATTTTAACAGATACAATTTATAAAAAGCAAATAAGATCATTTTTAAAATAAATAATATACAGACATAAAGTAAGATCAAATAGACACAGAAACAACTTCTAATAAATCCCTAAGTGCTGAGCAGACTTCTTTCCCAAGCTAGAAAAGCCAAAATCTAACTTGGGCATCAAAAGTAATGGTAGGGGTTTGGGATCGAGGGCTTTTGCATCATTACATTATACTCTCAGAGGGACAGAGAATCGGGAATTGGGCAGATGGGCACTGAAACACATATCTAGCTCTCCGTTTCTAACTTCACAGGATATTCATTCAGCCTCTTTTTAATTTGAAAGGCTTAGTAATTATATCTTATCCCGTTGCTTAATTACTTTTTCTTGCCTCACAGTAAAGCTTTTCTGATATTTGCTGACAAAACTAGTTTATGCTAGAAGCAGAGAATGGTTGTGTCTGGGGGTTTGTGTTTATAACCAGGAACACTGCTCGGAGAGTGGTCTGACCCAGGGCTGGAGCCGGCGTCCCCACGAAAGCTTGAAACTGTTTGATTCTTCGTCTCCTGTCTAGTTTCGGACGTTTTCCCCCAATAGGATTTTCTGAACTGGTGATCAGGGAGGTTCACCCTAAAAGAGTGGAAGAAAACATTGAGCATAAAAACAAAACGAAAAAATTAAAGCAGACGAAACAGTCTTTGTGGAAGTATTCTGGCTTCTTAAAACTTCGTCTTTATATTAAAAGGTAGATCTTGGAAATAGAGATAGATAAGTAAGGAAAAAACCCAAACCTCCTCCAAACTTCCCTGCCCGATGTGAGGACCTGGGCAGAATTCATGACTTAGACAAGGGAATCTGAGCTGGCAGCCCGCGCCTGCTCTCGAGATCTGTAGGGTCGGCCATGTCCATAGCCGCCGCCTCAGCCAGCATATGTGAAATGGATTGTTAAATAGTTGGAAGCTGAAAAAGGAATGCCACGCAATAGACATCCATTTACTTAAGCCCAAGCGGTTCCCCCTGATGTTTTATCCCATGATTCAGTGTCAAGAGTAAACATACAAGCACTCATGAGGATGAAGAGATGACATCCTCGCCAGTGGAGAACAGAGTGGTTTTCCTCGGGTTTCTCTGCTCCTGATTTGCACTCTTCCTGCTTTGGGTGCCTTTCTGCCCAGAGCTGATCTGGTTCCTCTTCACTTAGCACCTCGGCTGCAACTTCTCCTTTTTATAACCCTCCCCTGGGGCTGGTTAGCAGCCTAGAGTCTGATCGTCTGATCTGGGCTGCGGGCTTTGGTGAGTTAAGAGCTAGTGGTTTTTAGAATGAGCTAATGTTAGACCAAACCTCAGAGTCAGCCTCAGAGATAGAAAGTCAGGAAACAAAGGATTTTAAAAGCTGCCTGGCATGGTTTTAAAATCTTATTTTATATTTGTTTCCAATGAAGGAGGGGCCCTCCCAAGCCACTCTCAGTTGAGTTTAACAAGCATGAGCCAAGGGTCCCTGGGGGCAGTGGAGGGGAGCTGACTGCCCTGAGGAGAAATCACTGTGCTCAGCTGAAGCTCACTTCCTCCAGCAGTATGGCATTGCCCACCCTGCCCAGCCAAAACTCATTTCTAGCATGCTACCAGAACTTAAGGGAACTTGAGGATTGAACAATATACAGTTAAATACACCAGTTTCCTCATGTTACTCATTAAAAGTATCAGTGAGCCAGAAAGTTCAGGGTTTTAATTGTGGCCTTTGCAGTTCACAGCTGTGGGACCTTGGAGAATGTATTAAACCTCTCTGAACCTGGCTCCTTTATGTGTAAAATGAAGACCCCTTTCCTGGCATCCACCGGCCTCACCAACTTGGTTGGTGTTCTGGGCACTCTTTTCCCAGCCCCAAAACTACATCTGTCTTAGCCTGCCCCCAGTCTAGGGCTGGTTTGCTGGTCCTTCCACTCCTGCCCTTTTCTAGGCTATTTTAGCTCTTAAGGCCTGTCTCCACACTTCCTCTCTGTGCCATTTCATCTCTTTTGAATGTACCATTTGTTACTAAAAAGGCCTCTAGGAGCTCTCCAGTGTAGAATCCCAGGTGACTTAAAACCACCACTTCCAGGATCCTCGTTGCCTCTTCAGGGAATCGCAGGTTAGGGCCACATGGGTAAGTTAAAGACATCCACCACCTCCACTCTGGATTCTTTCCGGTCCTTTCAGATAATGAAAACAACACAACTCGTTTGTGTCTCTGGCCTCCTCAGTGGCTGCTTATAACTGATCCATCCCAGGTTCTGGTGTCATTTTTTTCTCATTCCACTTAAGTAGACATGTTCCATTTCTGTTCCCTGAATTTCTTCTTTTGAACTACATTTTTTATTCTTTTACCATTAGTTGGGATATAAATCCTAAATAAGTACAGTACTCAACACCCCCACATTCACCATTCATCGTCCATCTTTGACATGCATGCGATTGGGGCGGAGGGTGTTCTGCCTGTTATGTGCTCTCCCGTATCCCAGCGTGTCCCTTCAGCTGTTACAGAACAGAACAACTTTGTGAATATAAAACGTGTAATTCCGAAGTGATGTGTTAATTGCTGTTTCTACTTTTCTCCTTCTTGCCCCTCCCTCCATTTTCTTCTAAGAATAAACTCTGATGTGTTTTTTCTGCCTCTGGTTGTAAACAAATCTTTTTCTTCCCAACTATAGTGTGAAGCAGCCAGTGGGGACAGGAAGAGAGACCCAGAAGTTCATTTCAAAGAATTGAGAGCAACAAAAATGAAACCTGAAGTACTGAGTGGACACATCCCCTCAGGCCACATTCCTAAGCCTATCATGTTGCCTGACTATGTGGCGTGAGTATCTTATAAATCCTTCTTCAGGATGGAATTGAGGGTTTCCATTGGGCTTTTCATTTTCCTGTTTGTCTCCAAGTTAATCCTCTCTGTTTAAATCATTTACATGTGAATAGTCGTTTGTTACCTGCGAGGTAGTGTATTGAGTTGAAGCACACAGTGTGGACAGTGAGGAATAGCTAAGCTGATTTGGTGTTGAGCTTGTTTTAGTGAACAGGTTATAGCTCTGGTTAATTTCCCCCCAGAAAGTACCCTGTGATTCGGACGGATGAGGAGCGAGAGCGCTACAAGGCTGTGTTCCAGGACCAGTTTTCAGAGTACAAAGAGCTCTCCGCCGAGGTCCAGGCCGTCCTGAGGAAGTTCGATGAGCTGGACGCAGTGATGAGCAGGCTGCCGCATCATTCGGGAACCCAGCAGGTCAGTGTCCGCAGCTGCCTGGGAACACCCATGGCGAAGACGGGATGAAACCTGACCTCTTTCTTTTTTTTTTTTTAAATATGTCTTTATTAATTTCACAGAGAGGAAAGGAGACAGGGAGAGAGAGAGAGAGAAACATCAATGATGAGAGAGTCATTGATGGAGCCCACAACCCGGGCATGTGCCCTGACTGGGAATCGAACCCCGATCGCCTGGATCCTAGGTCGATGCTCAACCGCTGAGCCACGCCTGGCCGGGCAACCTGACCTCTTTCGAAATGTAGAGAGGCCGTAACCATGTGGGTCTGCTGTCTGTGTCTAGGAAAGTCACTTGAGGTCGTCAAGGTGACTAGTCAAGGTTACAATTCAAATTATATAATTTAATGTCTCCAGCCTTCAATTATTAAACAGTATTTTATTTTTTTATTTAAGTAAAGTATAAATTTCATATTTGTTATAAAACTTAGAGTAAAGTTAGAAGTAACATATTAGCTATTTTCAAAAGTTGAATAATATCAACCTCTTAATCCCAATACCTAATAACATGAAAAAGAACTTTCCAGTGGGGGTGAAAATGCTGCTTGATGAGAGCTGATGTGATCATTATGTGCCAGGCACTTTACAAGCGTCATTTCAAATAGGTGCAGCTTCTCAACCCTGTGAGGTGCTTATGGTTAGTGTTCCCATTTTACCAGTAAGGAAACTGAGTCTGCAGGAGGGTAATGAGCTTGCTCCAGGTCACACAGCTGGCAAGCCGTGGCACTGGCACTCAGTTCTGGTTTCATGCAGGCAGGGCCTTTCTCTCTGTTCACCCCTTAATCCCAGGGCCTGGCACACAGTAAGTCCGCAAACGTTGTCCAGTGAATTGGAGTTTTGTGTGTGAATATTGTCATTATAGTCTTAAGTAAAAATTGTTTTATTCTAATTCCCACTGTACTTTGAGACGTTCTTGAGATATGATGTGAGTGAATGCAAGTGTTTTAATTCAAGTATACAATATGCTATTTTTAGGAACATGAGAGAATTTCAAGAATCCATGAAGAATTTAAGAGGAAAAAGAAGGTTAGTAAAACTATTTTCTTCTTCAAAGTATATTCTTACCCAGGTACAGTGGAGACAACTGACTTTAGATTCTTTTAGCTAAAGTGGTTCTTTTTTTGTATTTGTTTATTGATTTTTTAAAGAGATGGGAAGGGAGAAGGAGAGAGAGAGAGAGAGAGAAACATCCATCGGCTTCCTCTCGTATGCACCCCAACTGGGGATCGAACCCTCAACCTGGGTATGTGCCCTGACCGGGAATCCAACTGGCAACCTGTCGGTGCACAGGACAACACGCGAGCAACTGAGCCACACCGACCGGGGCTTTTTCTGTATTTCTTAAGATTCTACTTGTTAGGGAACCAGGGGTGCCTGCTGGACACCTTTTCCTCCCAGCTCTGTTCTGATGACATTTGCTCTGTCCTGATTTAGCCACCCAGGGAAACGAGCACTGACACAGACCTCGTCACCCACATTTCCTTCCAAAAGATTACGTTACTTTACATGTTTCTAACTCCATCTTTAACGTAATTGCACAAATCAGTAGAGGCCAAAAAGAGCTTTCGGTAAACATTTCTGTACTTATTATTTACTTTGTATGTACTTTAAACTACTAAAGTTATAGGTACCTCAGCTCTTTGTATTTCTCAACTTTACTGTGAATCTAAAACTATTCTGAAAAATAAATTATAAAAACCTGTGGAGGGCTTACTAGGCAGATTTTGAAATCTGCGGGAAAGTCTGCTCTGAAGGGTCATTTCTGGGTGATTATGTGTGTTTCTGTGTTCTCTTCTGAGGAAGCAGAGGCTGACATAACAACTGTGTTTCTTTTCCAGGATCCTACGTTTCTGGAAAAAAAGGAACGCTGTGATTATCTAAAGAATAAACTTTCCCACATAAAGCAAAGAATTCAAGAATATGATAAAGTGATGAATTGGGATGTACAAGGTTATTCTTAAACCTTATTTGAAACCACTTTTTTATATCAAACAATATTTATTTACTGTCTTTTTTTATGTTAGTCTCTGCAATATTCAAGAAGCAGGTGCTTCCTGAATCAGCTTCTAGTTGGTTTAGTTGGTCTGCGATGTTAAAACAATCTACTTTTACATCAAACATTTCAGAAAAATTTCAAATTTACTAACAATGGAAGACATCCTGTATCCATCCGTGTACAGTTTGTGTTTATCTTGTTGAAATTAAAAGCGATTTAGAGATCCGTCCTGGGGTGTGAGAGCAAGTAGAGTATCAGTTCTGGTGCTGAGAATGTCCCGATTCTGGTGCCTTAGAAGATCAGTTTTCTCTGTTTTTACTCAGGCCAGTTCCTAAGATTTTCTAAGACAAATTTCTCTTCCTAGCCAAAGGTGTCATTTTTTCCCTTGAAGGGTTTGAATCCAAGATCAACATTTTCAAGCCTGATGATCTTAGGCAAGTTGCTTAAATCTCTCTATGCCTATTTCCTCGTGTGTACAACGGGGCTAATTATAGTGCCTACCTCATAGGGTGGTTACAAGGATTAAATGAGTTAGTGTTTGTGAAGTACTTAGAACAGAGTCTGGCACATTATAAACACTGCATTAGTATTTGTGAAATCTATAGAAGCGCTTGTGAAATGAATAAACTATCTAGAATAAGTCGCGAGGAAAGGTCCGTCCTTAACGAGCGAGCCCAGCCAGCTAACCTAAAGGCCATGTGTCTCATGACCTTGTCCTTTGAGCTGTTACCACATGTAGCCTTAAGCAGATGCCTCCATGTGGCTCTGTGCCCAGTGGGGTCCGACACAGCCTTCCCATCTTTAATCAGCATCACTGTGCACATCTTCGCAGCCCAGCCGTCCGGTATACGTCACATCACCCGGAAGCACTGTGTGAATGTTGTTGCCTTTTTTCTGCTGTTTGAATGTTTATCCTCAGGCCCCAGGATATTACATTTACTTAGAGTCCCCCTTTCATTTATTGGGATGCGTCATCTTCCCAAGAATTATCTTGGCTTTGGGGCTTTACTCATGAGACATGTTTTATTTTTATTAGTATGGACAATGAACCGCCTTAAAAAGTTTTTTTTAAATTCCTTGTTATTGAACCCTGTTCAACATGATCTCCCAGGTGCAGAGATACAGTCTCTGTGTAACATAGCTGCTGTTCCAACAACTGATGTTCAGAGAATTTCCTAAAGTGAAACTACAGAGAGACATGGTAAAGCAGAGGGTTGAAAAGTGTTGATTACTGAATGAAACTCCTAGTTCTTCTTTGTCAATGAAATCTTATTTCATGTTTATTGTTAATATCTTAATACCCTGGTTCTCAGACTATGCTTAGGGCCCTAAGAGTCTTAAGAGGTCACACCTAGGAAAATGTGAGGTCCCCTCTGAACGCCACACCCCCAACTAAAACAGCTTCATTTTCTATTTTATGTATTGGGGCCCCATGCTAACATGTCACTTAAGAGCACCAGTGCTTTAAAAACAGAAACAAAGATGAAATAATACCATTTTGGTAGACTATAGTTAGATTAATATTGAAAGAAAGCATTAAGGAAATTTAACTTTGCAGAACTTTATTTTACTACAATTGTAAATGTTAATTTTTGAAAACCAATGTTGTAACATGGATTTTTTAAATGTTTATGTCAATACCTAGGCATATTAAAATTTGTTACCTGTCGTTTTGCTTTTCTAGCATTCCTGTGTTGACTGGGCGTGTTCTTGAAAATATTTTCCATTATCATAAAGTAAACTAGAAAATCATTGAACACCTCTAGGCTATGACATTCAAGTGGCTGTTTCCTCCTCCCCCATTACTAGTAAGAATTGAAAGTCAAGGCCCCTGTGTTGGTTTCCACAGGCTGCCATGACAAAATACCACAATCTGAGTGGCTTAAAACAAGTTTATTGTCTCTCAGTTTTGCAGGCTAGAAATCTGAAATCAAGGGGTCAGCAGGGCCCTGGCTGGTGTGGCTCAGTTGCTTGGGCGTTGTCCCTGTACCAAAAGATTGCTGGTTCGATTCCTGGTCAGGGCACATGCCCAGACGGTGGTCTCAGTACCCAGTAGGGAGCATGCAGGAGGCAATAGATGTTCCCCTCTGACATCGATGTTTCTCTTTCTCCCTCTCCCTTCCTCTCTGAAAATCAATAAAAATATTAAAAAAAAAAAAAAAAAGATGTCAACAGGGCCAAGCTCCCCCTGAAACCTGTGAGAAATCCCTCCTAGCTTCTAGTGGCTTCCTGTCAATCTTTGGTGTCCCTTGGCTTGCATATGTATCACCCAAATCCTGTTTTCACATAGCTGTCTTATGAGGACACCAGTTATACTGGGTTAGTGACTCACTCTCAGTGGGATGACCTCATCTTAATTACACCTGCAAAGTCCCTGTTTCCAAATGACATGACATTCTGAGGTACCAGAGGTTAGGACTTAAACATAGCTTTCGGGTGTGGAACGCACAATTCAACCCATCACAGCCACCTTTGGCGAGGCGTGAGATTCGGAAGCAAAGGTAATTCTCTGTACGTTTTTCCCCTCCACCTGACTTTGACATATATTCCAACTTGAAAGTTAATATGAGAATATGTCAGGATGTCTAAAACTCGGAAAGAGAAAAGTGTATGTTCGCTTATTCACTCATCCGTTTGCCAGTTACGCGCCGCATGCTTTCATTGAGCAGGTGGTGTAGCACTGAAGACACAGTAGTCAGCGGACGGATGGAGCCCTTGGGGTCACTGTCTAACGGGATCCGAGTGAGAAGACAGGGTTGGTGATGCAGTACGCATTGTTATGTGCATTTCTAGAAAGGGTTGTGTAAGGAACATCGAGATGCACCCACGTTCAAAAGATAAACAAGATAGGAAAAATATGTAAGTTTTTGTGACTCATTTATTTAAAAAAAAAAAACTATTGTGGAAAAAATTCAAAAACAAATGACTATAAGAGCTTACAAAATAAAAGTCCCACCACTATCAGTTCCACTCCCTGATGATATATACTGTTGGGAGCGTATCCTTTCAGTCTTTTTATGATAAATATAATCATTTAAAAATTGCCTACTCTAATACTGGGTTTTTCAATGGGTTTTTAAAGGAGAGCATCGGAGAAGCTGTGCCATTGAGTGATAGGGGGACCCTCCTGAAAGAATCTGGGGTAGTGAAAGGTAGGAAGGATGGGTCAGCGCAGCAGGAGAACCACAACCAACACTCCATCTCTTACTGTATGACCTGACAAACGAACCTCTCCAAGCCTCCGCTTCCTTATCTGAGGATGTAATACTGCCTGATGAAAGTGTTGTGAAAATTAAATACAATAAGTACATAAAATAACAGGAAGGGGCTTGCTCCATAGTGGTGGCTGGATATTCAACTATGCTTTCCATTGAGTTAGATAATGAGTTGACTACTTTAAAGGTAGAATATTAACAGGATTATTTAATAATAACAATGACAAAAGGCTTTTTCAGAAAGTATATAGGTAATGCATTTATTGTAGAAAATTTAGAAATTGGAAGATAAACTTACACTCTTCCAAATACAAATAAAATTGCTCATAATTCTCCCCCCCCCCCCGAGGTAGTCATTA